CGCCCGCCACCTCCCCCCCGGTTCTCATTCCTGCCACTAGCGCGCTCGGCGGCTCATTCCGCGGCCGCCGCCAGCCGAGGGGAGCGTCGCAGGCCGAGGAACAGATGCCGCGGGGGCAGCTCGTAGCCGCCGCTGACTTGTGAATGGGACGGGGACTGGGCCGGGCGCTGACACCGCTGAGCTCGCCCTGCGCCAGAGACCGACGGCTCGGAGTCGCTCCCACTCGTGAGGGCCCCAGGTGAGCGCGCTTCCAGTCCCTTCTTCTCTCTTGGCTGGGGGGCCTGGGTGGGTGATCCCCTTGAAGGGAATGTTTGAGAAGAGGGTGTTTACGGACTGGAGAGGTTTCGCCTATAGGAAGCTGAAGAAGGAGGGGAATTGAGAAGATTTATTTAAAAATCAGAAAAGGAAAAGGGAACCAGCTGTGGGTGCGGACAGAGGGGACAGACCAGGGGCCAGATGTGCGCTCCAACCTCTTCCCGCTCCGGCCTCCGCTGAGCGAGGCGTCGGAGAGGGCTTCGCATCCAACTGGGGCAAGGGACTGCAGATCTGTTCCCCAGATGCGCCGAGTGCCCCCAGGCACGTCTCTAGGGAAAGTCGCCCCCGGCGCAGTGCCAGCCCGCCGGCCCTGCGCCTCTTCCCCGAAGCGGCTACAAGACCGCGCTCTGCGGGGTTCCTGCCCCTGCCTCCTGGCTTCCCTCCGAGCGCTCCCTAGGGTTCCATCTCTCCAGTTGAGACCGCCAGGGAAGCCCGGAAAACCGAAAGACCCGAGCTCTGGGCGGCGATCCCCGGCACTTTGATCGCGTGGCTCGGAGTCTGCCGACTGCGGCTCTGGGCTTGGGGACTGCGGTGCGCGTCAGCCCTCCAATCCTAGTCTCTCAGAGATCCGGGAGCCGCCGGCCAGCTCCCGCCTGCAGCGGGGTAGGTCCACGAGCGACTTAGCCTCCGGCTCGGCTTCGGCTCCGCGGAGCGGCCGGGGTCAGCGTTAACTTTGCGGACCAAACCCACTCCGAAGCTTGCGCCTCTTCTCGAGCGCGCCAGCCGCTCAGCTCCCTGCACCTACATCCTCCCTCCCAGAGCTTTGCCCCGGAACGCAAGCCGGGAGGTGGGAGGCCCTGGGAACCTGGCATGTTGGGGAGGGTGCCTAGGTGGGCACCTCTTCTCTCTTCCCCCCCAGCACCACCCCCACCCCCTCCGTAACCCAGACGGAGCTGTAGAAGAGCCCGCAAGGCGAAGAGAATCCCGGTCCCCAGAGAAAGTGGGGTCAGGGAGGCCCGTGTGTCCTGCTTCCTTGTCCCTTTCTTGCCAAGGCCCTGCATTCACCGGGGGCTCCACGCGCTGTGGTGAAAGGTTTCCTAGATGCTAGAAAACCCTGTTGCTTTTGCTGATAATGCAGTCGGTATTTCATGGGCCATCGCACTGCGATTAAGGAATTGCATCGTTTAATTATTCAGTAATGCCAGCCCTGCATGAGAAGAGGTCATCCCTAAAGGGTGGGCGATTCTTTCTTAAACCTTGATGCATTCGTATAGATTCGCCTCAAGTCTTCCCTCCCATTTCCCCTTAAAGCAATCTTGTTGGATGGCTCTGAAATCTTTTCTTGTTTTCTTTTACCCTGATCATTCCTAGTTAATATTGGGCAGTGAGTCTAAGTTTTCAGTGTAATCACAGGGATGCCACGATCATTAATCTGGAGAGTGGGTGGATCAATTTCTTTATTGCCTAAGCTTGCAGCCGACATCCATGATTTTGCGGGGCATCTGGATGCAGATGTGTTCTTTGGAGTGAGAATCCTGGAGCATCGCATCAGCATTTTTGCGAGGCTGGGCTCCAAGTGCTACAGCCTCAGAAGCTGGGAGGCAAGGAAAGGGGCTGACCTTAATTTTATTAATGTTGGCATTATTTTTCCTGCAAAACGGAGGTGCAGACACCAGACTACAGACGTATTCACTGCCCAGCTGCAGGGAGCCTAGTCTTCCCTTAGAACAAAGGAATAAAAGTTCCCAAACAAATGCACAGAACCAGTGAGGCCCTCTGCTCCTTGTCATGAAAGTTTGCTAATTGTCAGCTCTACTTGAAAGTTTCAAAGCAGGTCAGTGGGCCCGAGAATTGGAACCTTTGCAACACGGATACTGGGTCTAGTAAAAGAACTGATAATCGTTTTCAGTGGGGACTAGGCAAAGAAAGCTGCTACCAGTGAACTTGCTTGAGTGAGAACTGTCCTCCATTTGTACTGTTGAGACATCACCAATCAATATCTTCATAGGACTTGCAGCTAGGCTTTTATATTAATAATGATTATGGGTCTTATTTATTTCATAATCTGCATAAACCCATCCTTTTGTTACATTGTTGGGGAGGGGGGGGTGCCCTCTACCCCTGGCCCTCATTTCCTGGGGGAGAAGAGAATGAAGAGGTGCAAAGAAAGGAGTCAGTTCAAAAAACCTATGGAGGTCTGGACCTGTAGATTTGCTCAAATTGAGCTTGCAGCTTCCTGGAAATACAGGCTTTTAAACTCATGCCAATTGAAGCCATGGGTCATCTTGATAATACTTTAGAACTTCCTTTATGTTCAATATTCTTATCAGAACACCAGACAGTAACATTACTAGAAACCTAAATTCTATTTTCAATTAAGATCCAATCTTTTTGCTAATTTGAGAATTAAAAAAAAAAAAGGTTAGGACTTTTTTTTTTCTTTTATGACCCAGAACTCATAGTTTAAATCTTTCAAAGTGGTGGCAGTGTTTTACATTGTTGATTGTTTGCTTCATGAGAGAAAGAGAGAGAAGAAGGGGCTCCAAGCCATAATTTGGGGGATACAGATTCATGCTCCTTTAATTCACTTGTCTTCATAATTTATGGTTTTCCTTCCACTTTGGATAGAATTTCATGGCTGCTTTGTAAAGATTCTGGTTCAGGGATACTCATATGGGACACACCATGACTTTGACCTCAAGGCCTTGATTTACAACCCCAAAGACACATTCCCATGAACGTGGTATATCTTGGGACCTTACCAGTGAAGCCCTGTGGGAAGTCGACATTCCCATAAACTTTGATCTTTATTTCCAAATTTGTTTCTGGAACTATCTGAAGAGATTTGAAAATTCCATTTTAGGATTTCTTCATTTTTGATACGTTTATGTAGGTGGCTGGCTGTACCAGAAGCCTAGTAAATTTATTTAAGTTGATTATCAATATTATTTTTTTGTTTTTGATCATAGCCTAACTAATCATTAAATAATAATATTAATGTTTCAAAGATGGTGGTCTGTATGATTTGAAAGTAGGTCCCAGATCTTTCGTGATCTACCAAATTTACAGAATGACAATGCGTTCACATATATTCCCCCAGAGAAAATCTAACCTATGATTTAAGGAATTAAAGTGAGTTGAGGATGATTTTTCTCCTTGTGAAATTGGCCTTTGTTGCATAAACAGTTAATTTGTCAAGTACCCTGTTCCACGTTTATTAAGTATTGTGAGTTGTCAACCTTTCCGATCCAAAGTTATTGTCCCTGAGATGTATAAAGGTGGTCGGTCTATATAAATAGCTGGTTTAATTGATTCGAGGAGGAAAAACATCAACAGGTCTATTAGAATGAGAAGAATAAAAAACGGCTGGAGCATGTTGGCTAAATCCTGGTGCACTGTTAGGAGTAGCAATCCAGTTTTCCATCAGGATTACTGCGATAGGCATCCACAGCCTTCTCTGTGATCAGGAAGGATAAGGCAAACACTCGAGAAGGATAATTAGACATCCTTCTGCGATAATTTCACTGACATAGAGCGAGCCTTGTGCATCTCCGGAAGATTGCACTTGTGACCACTAGAGGGCAATGGCGCCCTTCTCCAACTCGGTGCACGGGGCCCATCTGCTTTTGAGGGCACCATGAAAAGCGGTTTTGTTACCACCAGGCTTGTCTGGCCCTCTCAGGAGAGACGGAATTCAATCTAGCTGCGGTTCAGGCTACTGCTCCAGCAGTTTGTCAGGATTAACATCTTTCCAGTGGGTGGAATCCCTTACCTTCAGCCTCTTCTTCCCACCTGGATAGCATTTACTAGAAAGTTGGGAAATCTTGCAAGTTGAGAATGAGTATGAATGGGTTACAGGCTGAATGGAAAACAAGGTCAACGCTCATCAAGCAGTGATCTGGGCAGGATTTTCTAGCCTTCCCTTCCACCCACTGCTCCTGGGGCAAAAATCATCATTTCTGATTCCAAGGGGAAGGGAATGCATAAATATGAGAATTATTAGGTTGCGGTGTTACCGTTATCTGTGAGGAGGTTTTGAAGACATCTGGCACAGATTTCTAATTGGCACAAAAGAATAGCTGTTGGATCTTAGGTAAACACTGTGGAGCATGGAATTTTAATATAACAGTAAGTGTTTTACTATTACCTTTAAGCCTTTCTTGATACTGCTGTCTAAAACCAAACTTTAGCAGAAAGTACAATTTAATTCAAGATTGGCCCTCATGTACTAGAGTTTAATCAATTGATTTTTTTCCCTCCTCTATGATATGGAAATTACTGCTTATGATTAAATTGCATAGTTCAGCCTGCACACATTTACATTTGTTACTGTTTGATAGTGTCATTATGAAAGTTCAGAACAAGAATGGGGAAAAAAATCCCCTAATGCTGTATTATAATTAAGAGGAAAGCTCTATTAAAAAAATAAATAAGTACTGTCTTAAGTGGGTACTTATTTGCATCTTTTTTTTAAACTAAGTACAATTGCCTCCCTGGTGAATCAGCAGTTCCTTGAAACTCAAAGCTGCGTTGCAGTGCACAGACAATTGATGAAGATGGAATCAATGCAAATGGATTATGGGAGTGTGTATTAAGTAACTCAGTGAAAAATAAGACAAAGTGTTTTGTAAACCGATGTTCAGTCACTGGACAGCTTATTTAACTTAGTGAAAGGAAGACACCTTCCAAGTGTGTTTGTGAATGATGCGCATTGCCTGGAACCGGAGGCCAAATCTCACTGTTATTTGGTTTCATTAATTGTTAGTCCCAGAGTTCCAAGATTCTAACTGAGAAAAACGTGGTTCTCCTGTAGACTCAAGGTTGCTAGGGAGGGCGAGAGTCTGGTTATTGTTGTTAAGTATCTTCAAGTCAGTTCCGATCTATAATGACCCTGTATAGGGTTTCCGAGAACCAGCTGGTGGGTTTGAACTGCCTGCCTTGTGGTTCGCAGTCTGGTGCTAATCTTGCATTACCACATGAGGC